CCTTGTTTAGATTATGAAGAACTTTCAGTTCTTTATCTTGTTTGTTAATTAACAAATAATGTTCAGATTTTTTGCCAATCAATAGATGAAGTTTTATGTAGGAATTGTAAACATTAAAATTGACTTTAAATAAATCAATTGAAACTGTGTCCAGGTCTCTTGAACTGATTCAGAGAGATACAGAAATTCGGAAGAAAATATATTACTGACAGTATGTTTATATCGTCTGTTTATAAATTTTAGGATTATTTTACGATAATGTTAAAAATAGTACATTTAGTTTGATATAAATGAATCAAATTGAGGATTTTCATCTGTCTCTGTCAGGAATTCAATGCTTGAAACTTTTTTTAAATTATATCCCAGATAGCAGGATGTTATATGACCTTCGTTGGGTCAACAATGCTCCTTATGTTGGGCCACCGTATGCATTCAACATTGGGCCATAGGTAATTTGCTCATAGGCCCTTAATCAAACCAACTTGTTGTCTTATTGTTGGGCCAATGCAACAGTGAATATTGGGCCATTGTTGGGCCAATGTATTCTTTCAATATTGGGCAAACGTCATTTTGTACAGTTGGGCCATTGTAAACAATTACTGTTGGGCCAACGGTAATTTGCTCATCGGCCCTTAATCAAACTTATTGGCTTATTGTTGGGCCAATGCAACAGTTAATATTGGGCCATTGTTGGGCCAATGTATTCTTTCAATATTGGGCAAACGTCATTTTTGTACAGTTGGGCCATTGTAAGCAATTAATGTTGGGCCAACGGTAATTTGCTCATCGGCCCTTAATCAAACCAACTTGTTGGCTTATCGTTGGGCCAATAAACGGATATTATTGAGCCATTGTTGGGCCACTTATTCTTTAATTATTAGGAAAACACTATTTTTGTGCCAACGTTGGTTTGTATCTTATTGGCTCTCCATCAGGACAACTCATTTGCTCTTCACTTGTTTGCCATTTGTCCACAAAATTGAATAACATACTATATATAATAAGGTTATACTAGTTTTGTAGTACATTTTAATGGTAAAAGCCCTTAAATACCATATTTACTAAATTAATAGTTTAATACATATTCACAACATCTCATAGAAGTACCATCAACAAGTATTGCATTGTAAGTAGCTCTACATTAATTTTAAAAAACTGAGGAAAAAGGAAAAAGAAATCAGAATATAAAATTAAATTATAACATACTAGTATTTTATTGCTCAGTGCATGAAGAAAACATTAATAAAGAACAAAAAGTTGGTGCTCACTTGAAGCGATACATGACTGTATACTCCCTCTCGGATGTAAATTTATGCACAAGTTCAGTAAATTGCAGGTATCAATAAGCACGTCTAAAAAATAAACAAAGCCCTCCTGTTCTTACAATAATACTAAAATGAATCCCACCATTTTGTTTACTTACACAAAAAAATGTTTCTGGCATCTGCAACGTGTTTGTTACCGACAAACAAACACAGAAAAGGGTAGAACTACAGGTATGTCACAGTATATAACAGAAAAAAGTTAGGGACTGCCACTTTCCATCTGATCCCTCTCCTAAGTCTCCTCCTCTCTCTCCCAAGTCTCATTCTCCTTCTTCTTTTCTTCTCTGTCCGTTTCTTCTTCCCCCATCCCTGTCTGTGGCAACCTTAGCCATTCTTTGATTGTGTTCTCAAAGTCTTTTTAGAATCTCCAGTAGCACTAAAATTGTAGTATTTGGTACTTAAAACATTTGTTACTTTTCTCAGTAAAGAGTAAACATACGGTTAAATTTACAAGTATATTTTTGTTTTTTGTTTCATGGTGTGATTAAGCGATTAGCTTGCGTGATGAAGGCATTTATGCATAAAATTTCTACGTTTGATCATCATCATCACACCGATTTTGATTCAATGTTGACCCATATTAATCATTATTCAAAGTAAAAAACATGTATCGAAAATTTGTCGGTACACTGAACAAATTTTAAATGAAAGAACCCAATTTATGTTTTAGTACTGAATAAATTTTGTTTTAACTTCAACATGTTTAACATTTTCAACATGTTTGATCATGTGCTCAACGTTAAGTGTATATAAGTAAAATGAGTGGTAGACTTCGGAAATTTATTCTACTAGACACAAATTTCAATATAAATAAGGGTCAAATTATTTATTGTTTTAACTGTATCAAAACACATTTGTTATTTTATACTTTCAATTATTTTTCTTGTATAGAAACAATAAATTATTAATCACTGATAATTTATTTTGTTTTGATAAATTATAAGAATTTTAAAAAGCCTTGTAAATTTATTTTAGCTAACTTGTATTTTCAAGTAGGATCGGTGGTAGATTAATTTCTGATTGTAGGGACTATCGGATTTGGTAATATACATATTTGTAACAATTGAATGTTTATACACATTGGCTCAGTGTTTGTCCAATGTATCGGACCAACATTGGGCCAATGAGCAAAATGTCACTGGAACAACGTCATTTGCCAACATCGGCCCAATGTTCTTGTTGACGTTGGGCCAAGATTTGCCCAATGTCGCATTCATTTGGACAATGCTGTCTTGCAACGTTGGGCCAATATCTGTAGAAATAACACTGCATGAAAAGTTGGGTTTAATTTTACCTTAAATGCGATTTAAATGCTGCGATATAACATATTGTGGAATCGTAAATGTTAGAAAATAATTAGCATTTAATAAGAGTTTAATGAAAAATTAAAAGAACAAATTTTATAACGTTTGGAAAATTGTAAACTTACTAATACGTTCGGATTTAAGTCTGCCGTAAACAAGTATTATACGTCTAATATACAAAACGTATAATTATTATTAAACATGGCCATAAAATAAAGTTTTATGGTCATATTAAATTTGTTCGTTTAATAAAATTTAACGTAGATCTTTACCTCATTATTTTTGTTAAACTCACACTTTACTTTATAATACTTCCAAAAATTACGTTATATACGGAAAATTGTAAACTTGCTAATACGTTCAAATTTTAATCTTTCATAAACTAATAATAAATCTCGTGTAAAAGTGATGAAAATGTACGAATTAAGCCTTCCCATATCATTAAGATTTAAGGTTGTATTTGATGAAATTTAATATAATTATATTATTGCATAATATTTTTATTTTATATTTAATCCATCAATAATTTGTATGGGTTACAATTGTGGGTTTTTTTGGCAAGTATTTTACAATCATACACAAATGCATTTCTCATTCAGTTTTATTAGATGTTATCTCAATAGTCTACAAACAATGAGTTCTAACAAAGTACAAGATATTTCAAATTTATGCCTAAAAGTCAGAATTTAAAAATTTACAATTATGATTGTAGCTCAATTATAATGGAGTAATTTTCAACATACTAGTAATAAGTAATATACTGAAGTAATTATAAATAATTTAATATAAGAATAGAACTGTATGTAAAATTCAAATCTGCAATAAATCAGAACACAACAGGTCAAAAATGTAGTCATTCTAGAGTCCGAAAGTGCAAAATCTGTGACTGAAACTGCCCCTATTAAAACTGCTGCATGGGTTGTAAATGGCTTTTCAATTTCCCACAATAAATTATATCATACTTTGCATAAAAAGAATAAAAGTTGCCAATAAAAGTTGCCCACTCGTTTTACATGTACATTTAATAAGACACACTAAGCCACTGACAGGGAAGCCTCACTCGCCCACAAGCAACAGCAAAAGGATCGGTCAGAGACACCACCTTTCTCTTACTTGGGTATCAAGATCTGCAACTTACTGCCAGCAAAGCTCTTTCAGACCACCCTTATATTGTTTCCCAAGTATTTCCACAATAGATGTCCATGCACTAATTATTCAAGTTCAACTTGTAAAATACTTAATGTTGACTGAAAAATACAACACCCCAAAAAATCCTTTATATCATTTGGTTATGTCAATACAAATTAAGGAAAAAGTATCACAATTACACAAAACAATAGCAGCTTAAAATTGTTTCCAATACATGTAGCTCATTTCTGTTCCAACTGCTAGGATTATTGCTTGATGTTTGTAATTTAACATATCCTCATTAAATCAACTTTACATTGGAATACAAGACATTTCAATAGTGATATTTTTAACTTTGCCTTAAAATATCAAGAATGAGCTCTGAAACATGCACATATAAAAGTCCTGTATAAACATATGTACAAGTATATTTAACAAGTTTTTTAAGCCTTAATTACAATTCTATTTTAATGGAAAAGATTCTCGTCATAAACTCTCTTACTTCAACTGGAAGGAAACAAATCAATATTTTACTCTTGCAATTCTCATTACTCTTTCAATATCAATTGTAATTATTATTAAAATCACAGTTCACCCCTTTTTTACTCAGAAATGTCTTTACTTTATTTGCTTAGTCTACTTTGTACATCTATGACTCACTAAGCCACGGACAGAGAAGCCTCACTCGCCCACAAGCAACAGCAAAAGGATCGGTCAGAGACGCCGCCTTTCTCTTACTTGGGTATCAAAATCTGCAACTTACTGCCAGCAAAGCTCTTTCAGACTACCCTTGATTGTCTTTTTTTTCCCACAATAATGTCCATGTACTTATTATTTAAATCAGACTTGTACATATATGTAATATATAAATCAAGATTAAAATGTATGTGATTGCATACTATACAACAAACCAATAAATGTTAAACAATATAAAACCTAACAGTTTCAATCTGTAATCAAGCATCAGAAAAAAAAATCACTGTCAAAAATAAAACACTAGGTCTATTTTTTTTTCTTATCTAACATTGAATGTGTCAATTAAAGATAAGCTAGTAAAACAAGCATCACATTTGTGCAAAAAAGTAGCAACTCAGATATTTCATCTCTAATAGCCCATCTCTGTTCAATTACTACATCCATAGGGTTGACGCTTTTAGATTCTTTATTTGTCCTAGTTCTCCTTATGCTCTGCCTTTTAGGGTGCTTTGATTTGAGAGTTGCACTTTTGGTGTCCTGTTCTTTGAAGACATTCTCACATTCATCAGAACACAACTTCAGCTTTCTAATTTCATAGATAGTATTATCTTTAGAATAATTTTTGTGTACTATGAAGACGTAATCAATATTTAAAACTGCTTCTTCTTGCTTTTTCTTCTCTTCATGCCAAGAAGTTTTCAGTTCTGGAGAAGCACATCTAGCTCCTAATTTCTAAAACAAACATAAAAAATAAATACCGATTTGCCTATATATACATATTATATGTGTGCTTCCGGATTTATGCAATTGCATATATTAAATAGTACACAAAATCTGAGTTGATTGTAAAATTATCAAATGACCTAGAGGAAACACAGCTCAATTTTGATTAAGTAAAAAAATTACAGAAGACCACAAAAGATATGCCATTTTTTAAGTCTGGGTAATAAAGACAGATAATTATGTATAATTTCAGGCCAGCGAGCTACAGATTATAAAGCTAATGTTGTTATACATGTAAATTGGGGACTAATGATTTTTTAGCAATCTTTTTTGTTTTTGGAGCATTTTATTACTATGTTTACCTGCTTGACCTTGAACATGTTGAAGTGCCCATTTCTCTGCTCCTCCACAATAATTCTTTCATTTAGCAGCAAGATACTATGGATATGGTAAAAAGCTGTCACAAACAAAATATGAAAAATTAATAACAGGTATGGCTCTCCGTAGAAAGAATATACAAAAAAGGAGAAAAATATACAAATAGGGTATACTTATGACCAAAGCAAGAAGATAACATTTTACACAATGAAAAAAAATTCTTTGTGTCATCTAGGTTAGTGAATCACATAAAAAAACCCCATATAATTATATGTATAAATTTATAGACGACAAAATACATGTGTATGATATGAAACAAACATAATGGTGCCGTAGTCCGAACACATTGAATTTGAAGATTTACAAAGATTACGAAAATGAAAAGAATAGCATTTACAGCATTTAATATATTAAGACATACGTATCTATAGTTTCACAGCAGCAAGCTACAGATTTTGTGGAAGTACATGTAAATTGGGGACTGGTGACTTTTTGCCATTTTTTTGGAGCAATTTACCAATGTATTTACCTGCTTGGCCTTGAATATGTTGAGATGCACAGCCCCTTTCTTAGTGTTCCTCCACGATATTTTATTTAATGTAGCAGAAAAATATTATGGATAAAAAAAAATATGAAAAATTACAAGCAGGTATGGCATCTCGTAGAAAAAATATACAAACAGATGTATTTATGATTTTAGAGCAAGTAGATAACAGTCATACAATAACATATTATGATATGTATTAGATTAAATTTAGAGACAACAAAACATGATATAAAATGGATGTACATACTCGAAACACATGGAATTTAAGAGTAAAATATTAGGATAATGAGCAAGTCATTTGATATTAAGTAAAAGATATTTAATTTAACAACTTACACTGTAGATAGCAGGTTTTTAAAGTGGACAGCAAATGCAAAGTTCTAGTAAATGGTGGCGATCTCATACACAATAAGTCGTACAACAAATGATTAGGCCAAAAGAAAATAAACTCTTGTTTCCTGTCCCCTGACTAAAAAAATTAGGGTAAGTAGGTAGTGAAAAAAATTTATTTTGAGAAAAAATTTTATTTTGAAAACTCATTGGATGCAGAACATATATCATGTAATAACAAGAAAATGATATGTTAACAGTTTACAGAGCTAGTTTGTTAATCAGGATTTATAGAATAAAGGTATCCTGTACAATTGTGATGTATTAGTTTTGTATTTATATTGTTGGTTGACTTTAAAATTTTAGGAAAATAGTCACCCAAAAAATGAAAATGTAATAAGAACTTTTAGGTTGGAGGGTAAAATTTAGGGTAGGTCGGGTGACAGGAAACAAGAGTATTTTTTATTTTGGCCTTAGTTTGTACCTCATACTGGGTAGCCAAATATCTGGTCAAGTCACTTTCAGAAGGAAGGCTCAGCAAGTTCAATGTTGATCATTCCCATAGCTACTTCAAACTTTTCTGGCACAATTTCTGAAAGAAAAGATGTATCTTGCAGGGTTTTTTGTTCAAACTAGGATTAATTCTCATAAATGTAAAAATTTGAAAAGTTTATAGATGACAGACAAATACCAGACACAGATAAGAAAAATCGCTCGGGTCTTAAAATGGCTCAGGTGAGCTAAAAAAAATCAATTCATGTGATTTTATTGATCTTATCAGAAAATTTAAGAAATCTTTCTTCATACTGCTTTTGTCATTTCTTGTGATCATTTGGATTCCTGTAAATAATGCATGCGTAATTGTGCATCATAGAATATGATAGCTATTTTTAATAATTCATGCTCAAGTATTTCACGTAAAAAAATTATGCATAGCTCAGAATCCATTGCTATTGTATTTTTTAGGATAAGGAAAATAAGAATATAAACCTCGTCTTGTTTACTTGGTATATAGCATTTCAAGTTGTTGCAATATTTTTTATAGTCTTATGCTTAAAGATACAGGTTGATAAAAACATTGTTAGTTTATTTGTGTAAATTGAAAATTTGAGCTGCATGGTTCTCACCATTTTCACAAGCTGTCTACATAGCCAGCGATGTGGGGAATCGTCTCAAGCACAGTCCACTGCAACTATTTAAATAAAACAAAATAAGTGCTGAATATACTCTTGAGTATGCATAAGAAATAAATAAATATTTTATTACATTGTACAACATACTCTGTAAATGCTGAACAGAGGAACACTTTAGTGACTAAAATTCTGAAACCAATACCAAACGAGAAAATTCTGGTTAAAATCCATCTTTAAGAGAGATAATTAAAAGTGCTAAATAATTATTACAAAATTTAAATAGCGCTTGCCCAAACGTTTTTACTGCTAGGCATTTTATGTGTAGTACCCAGACTAAAGAACAGTAACATTATTAGTAGCAGAGGCAATTATTCATTCAAGGACAAATGATAAAAATTTGTACATTGTTCCTACCGCTAAACAGGGACGTAAATGTCTTCATCTTCTGTTAAATCAGAAATTTCATCCAAAGTTAATCATGCTTCTCCTTTTCATGTCACTCTCTTTCGCCCCGTACAACATCATGATCAAGTTCAACATGGCTGCGTGGAACTCTCCAAGAAATTGAATTTCGGCGCGGTGTGTTGCTTTTAAATTAATTGCTTTTCGATCCCGACCTCGATCCCGATGTAATTGTACTACAGTAGTTATATTCCACAGTTTTTAAAAATCTACATAAGGGTTAAATAAATAAAAATGAAAAATTAATAAATTAAATTAATAGGGTGCCTAAATGTTTTTTTTTTTCAAAACTGTTTCAACATTAGTTTACATTAGGTATAAAGAATTATTTATGACATATTGAAAATACCAAAAATGTACTTAAGGTAGCTAAGGACACCTGACCCCAAAAAAACCTGTCAATAGATTTTGTTGAAATTTTCACAAGGTGTAAAGGGATGTGTAATGAACACTTAGTCAAAATATGAACATGGCATTGTGGGTAAATTACGGAACCAGGGGCTAGTGAGTTACCTCCCCTTTCCAGTCACTCCAAAAATCATAATACAAGATAATTATTACCCATAAAAAATTTATTGTGCAATATGCATTCAATATTAAAAATTATTTTTAAACAATATTGATACTATTAACTTATTTTAACAATGGATTGTCTGAACATATATAAATTAAGAGAATAATCCATGTAGAACATTTGAAATTCGACTAATTTGGCCATTTTCATGCACACAAATTTGACACTTTTTAAATTCTAAAAAAAAATCTGTCCAATAGAATTTTTATTTTTTATCATTATATGAAAGATCTGTCTAATACTATTCTTCACTCAAAAAATCTTGGTCACATTGAGGGCTAATAAAGGTACCAGATGGTCCACAACTACACCCCCCCTCTTTTGGTTTCCCGTCGTAAAGGTAAGAATAACAATTAAAGTGGCTATTTAAAAAAATGCATAGCAAATTAGGGAAAAACAACTGAAGAAATAAATCAGAAGTAAAAATCAATTGCTAATAAATGACTAAAGAAAATATTTTTATGAAATAATAGTACATGTAGAGTAATAACTTGAAGAGTTACCTCCCCTCTCCCCTCACAATAAAACATGTAATTAAACCAATATTGAAATTATCCATAAAAAGTTCCTCAAATAAAATATGAGTTTATATTTTAACAATAGATACTTGAACAAAAATGTAATTAAAAAAAAACATTTAAAAATTCTTCAACATGATCCCTTTTGATTACTTTCATGCAAACAAATTGTATGTTTTCCTATAGATTTCTAAAAAAATATTTGTATGACAAAAATGTCCAATACTATTTCTCACTCAGAAATCTCGGCTGCATTAAGAGGTAATTAACTATTAAGTTACAGAATGGTCTAATACATCCCCTTCTTTTATGCATCTCATATTGTTTTCATTGCAATGTCAAAAATCCCCCTAATTATTAACATGTCAAATGCATTCTTCTTTGTCCGAAAATACATTTTGGTCATACAGAATGAAGAAATCCATCTGACATAGCACTGCACAATTCACAAATTTCTATTTCATAGAATAATAAGAATATCATTGAAAAAATATGATCAGTACTCTTTCAAATTGATCAAAAGTCATTTTATTCCATGAGCAGGTAGGATAATAACATTTAATAGGCCATTCCAAGTCTTTTTTTTCTGTTTGGCATCCAATCGCACCTTGGTTTTTGAAACCTACATGCATCAGACAATCAAACAAAATCAGAACCCCTACACTTGATTATTTTTGTTGAAATCTTTTGAGTTCTGTCAATTTCTCAAATATGTACAATAAACATGTCATAGGTGGTGTACTTTAGGCATTTATTATTTTGATTTTGCTGAAGAATAGATATTTCTACCAGAAAAGCAGATTGATGAAATAAAATCCTCAGATTTACACTATTATTACAACTATAGACCTGATGCACGTACATTCTGTGTTTTATTTTTTGGTTCATATATTTTTTTTACAAATAGGTACATGTAGGTAGGTTTTTGATTGAAGGTTGGACGCTAAACAGAGAAAAAAAACTTAAAATGGGCTTAGTCTAAAACCGTCCTTGACCTGAGACATAAAATTACATAAACTATACCTAAAAATTAAAAGCAAAATGACAATGCTGCACTGGGACATAACACTTGATGCAGGACATTTTATATAAAAAGTTAAAAAAAAAAGATTCTACATGAATATCTGGAGCAGCTTATTAAAAAGCCTGAAAAACACTCACAGTGTAGATTATGCATAATAGAGAATATCTGTTGATTGGCCTATTACTGAACCCGACATCACAAGTCAACATTAAATTATGCATACATTTTTAAAAAAAAGAAAAATCTACACTCTACAGCAGTGTAATACTGCAACTGACATACTGGAGTATACAATACATAACATAGTACATTAAACATGAAAGGCTGCATGTGGAGTGATCTATTACCACACCAGACATAAAACATGGTAGATTAAATATGAAAAATGGAAAAAAAAATCTATATGTGGAGTGATTAGTTTCCACTTTAAATGTAACACTCAATCAAGAGATACATGTACCCGGTAATATAAAGCTGACAAAGAAAAGTAGTCTATTGACTATTTTAGTTTATTTTCAACAAGCGATTCTTGTCCTGCTCTTTTTTGTCAGGGATAGAAAGTCATTCTGCCGTCGAGCTGCAGTAGTTGAATCATCATCAGCATGAATGGTCTGGACTTCACATTCATATACCTTGTACTCTGTACTGATGAATCTATCTGTAATTTATAAAATTTAACAAATACAATATTATCTACAGTCAACGTCAAAATATATTTCCCACGATGTCTATATCTTATATATATAATTTCGGTGAAAAAACATGTATATGTAACAGGAAAAGAGAAAATGTATGGATGGACCGGGAATCAAACCTGAGACCCCTGCATCACTAGTCATGTGCTATACAGACTGAGCTACCCTGGACGATATACTGTAAACGTATTACATTTGGCTGTGTATTCTTTTTAGCGCCTTTCGCGGTAAGCAGCTTCCGCTAAATCAAGTACATCGCTAAAGGATTTGTGTAAAGAGGTTTATGTAACGCACATGCAAAAAGCGCTAAATCAAATCTACGCCAACCTGTTGAAAATTCAATGTTCGCCAAATACCGTACACGCCAAATATAATACATTTACAGTATATCCATGGCCCAAACCATTACATATTACATACATGTATATATAACTTGCAAAAGTTTACACCTCATACATGTAAATTGCCAATTTTCTACACTTATTAAATTTGGCATAGAAAAATTTAAATGATGACTTAACCATTATCACTATTATGCTGACATTGAGATCCCCTGGTCTGCTATGGGTTGGTGGTCCTATACCAGAAAGTACCATCTTGATGGCTAAAAAAAATAGATCAAATAAATACAAGCAAAACCAAAATTTAATTACATTAGTTGATTGGCAAATCACTTTTTAACCAGTAATGGGCCTCGGTCCCTTCGGGACCTCGGCTCCATTACTTTTAAGGAATGGAGCGCTACGAGTACATTAACCCTTACTTACCACACTGACACAGTTTTTACCAGTGAAGAAAAACAAAAATAATCTGTCCAGGGTTCGACACTAAGGGTAGTTGGCTGGCCCGCGACAACTGAATATTGAGTTTTGACTACTAAACATGCCTTTAAACTTGCCCTGCAGGGCTACTGTAAATTTTACCACCTAACTGAAACACTCACTCAGAGCAACAAAAATAATTATAATTTACACAAAATTTACCTGATTATTGATAAATTAATTTAATTTTCAAACATGTTTTATCCTCAAAATTATTTTTGTAAGTCAAAATGTAAATACTTTAAAGGTGAATCGAAATACCGTAAATGGTTATAAATGTGGAATTTTTTTAATAGAAAAATATCTGACAAAAATTTGGCCCCCAGTGATCTTGGAAATAAAAATAAATTATCTGTCTACATAATCTGACACCCATAAATTAATAAAAATTTGCCCCCCTCCCACACCCATCAAATGAATGAGAGTCCCTATATTACATTCTCTGAATTTACTAGTAATGTGAAGTTTAATGCTGAATTAAAATAGGCCTATTATTATGAAAGTATGTCAAGTAAATATCTATAGATATGACTTACCAAGAGTTATACTTTTGAGTTGATATCAACAGTGATCATAATTCTCTCCATCGAATTCCTTTCGGGGCCGGGATTTCCCGTGGAAAGTGTCGGTAAATCCATAAATAGTACAGTACTATCATTCCCATTGTAGGCCTAATGTATTGATAATATAAAGTACCGAGTCACCATCGCTTTCAAAGTATTTGGAAAAGATACAAACGATTGCCTTTATCACTGTGACTGAGAGCATATAAACTGATTTTTCAAGTTCCTCATCTCAACAAACTTCGCCCCTCTTTCGTTTTCATCCATGTCACATCATGAAAACCAGCTGCGTCATCTGCTTTGGAATAGGGGTGCTAGTCGGTTGTTTGCGATACACAGACATTTTAGTTCATAAAAAGGTTTTATTGTTTTCTGTTTCTTAAGATGTTATATTCTCTCATTCGCTCTAATTTACTTGATTTACCTTTACAGCTGAGCGTTCCTATAACGTTTCCCGTGACTTTTCTCGGAGCACGTTGTTTACAACTTGCAGTCCGCCATATTGAACTATGCGCATTTCCGGAATAAGCCAACCGAAAAATTCTTAATTTAGAATTCACATGCAATGTCACGTGATCGCTATCCGTAGCTACGTTAAACTTTAAGTATAAGCATATATTTACTTTAACATGTCGATATCCTTAAACGAAACGTATAATTTTCTCAATTAAACTATATTATTCTCGACGTATTTTGCATTAAATGTGATTATACTTATTTGAAAAATGTACTTAATTATATCACAATATATCTCGTATAAAATGTACCGTTATACATAAATTAAATTCAATACAAGAAATTTACTGGAGTAAACGAATTTATTAAATAATATTAAACGCGACTTTTCATGCAGTGTAACACTCTACACTGGGCCAACGTTGGCCCAACATATCGGGCCAACATTGGGCCGATGAGTAAACTTACACTGGGCCAATGTCATTTGCCAACATTGA